GGTTTAACAATTACGTTCAACAACAAAAAAAGTTGACAAAATTGATGTAATTTTTTTATATTTATCCGATAAAAATTCAATTTTACTTTTAATCATCTATATGAAAACGATTTAACGATTATTTTCAACAAGAAAAAGAAATTGATATAATTGGTGTAATTTTTAATATTTATCCACAGTGAAAAAATTCAAATCTACAGTTAATAAAGATTTAAATAGATAATCAATTAAACGTGTTTCAAGCTGTCGATATAAGCGTTTGACAAAATTTGATTATATCCAGATTATCCAAAAAAAGCTGAATATACCGGTTCTCGTTAGATCACCGAAGTTAAGCATCATTGGGCGCGGTCAGTACTTGGGTGGGTGACCACCTGGGAACACACTGCGTGCCGTTGGCAAATTTGGGACCTGAATGGCCGAGTGTCTAGCGCTCTGGCGCTCGGTGTCACAGGTTTCGGGTTCGAATCCCGGCGTTGCCATGGATGTTTGTAGTGGTTCGGAATCCACTTTAAGCCGTAGGTCCCGGTCTTCTATGACTGTAAGAGCGTCACGGAGCAAAAGTCAGGCTTCTACCTACGGGGTGCTCCATCACAACAGAAGCTGCTTCCTTCCCCTTCAATCATGAGTCCATATGGGCTCGTGGGCTTGGCCAGCCAAGTGGGATAAGAAACAACAACAACAACATTAATTAAAAAAAGATAGAATACAAATATTATTCTTAGTCCTCACAATAATCTTTAATCAATTACTCTTCAAAATTCTTGTAATCATCTGTCTGAAAACGATTTAACAATTACTTTCAACAAGAAAAAATTTGACAAAATTAGAGTAATTTTTTATATTTATCCGCAGTTAAAAATTCAAATTAACAGTTAATAAAGATTTAAATAGTTAATCAATTAAACACGATTCAAACTGTCTATATAAACGTTTGATAAAATTTAAATTCTTGATTGATTTGAAGTCACTGATTTTGTTCACATGCTTCATTTTAATTTAATGCCGCATTTTTGAAATGATTGAACGATGAAACAAATATCTATTCGATATTTGTAAATACAAATATTAAATAGATGTATATGCAAATGTATGCATGTGCAAATGTAATGTACATATACAAATGTATATGCAAATGCAATGTATATGCAAATACCGAATAGATATTTGTAACAAATAACATTTAAATTATTTTAACAACCTTTTATTAAAAAAGACACGTAAAGCTGTGAAATAAATATGATTTGATCACTGATTTTGTTCACCTGCTTCATTTTTATTTAATGTGGCATTTTTGAAATGATTGAAATATCAATCATTTCAAAATTTATCAAAATCACAAATATATTTATCACAAATTTATATATTATATTATTATTGTTATATTATTATTTATCAATAATATTTATCACAAATATCAAATAGATATTTCAAATAATATTTTATTAAAAAAAGACGCGTAAAACTGTGAAACAAATATGATATGATCACCGACTTTGTAACAGTGCTTCATTTTTGAAATGATTGGATGATGAAATAAACCCAAATAGATATTTTATTAAATAATAAAAAAAAAAAGACACAAAATAAATGTAAAGAGTGCCCTTCATTTTTATTATTATTTTTTTTATCTATACATTCATCAACTCAAGGTTTCTCGATTTTGTGAAGAAAACACGGAAAACTTTTTTGATGAAGTAGGAAATATATTGAAAGAGCACAATTAACTCATTTAACAAAACTTTCCTCATTTTATGTAGTAAAAAAATAACCCGAATAAGTATTTTCTTTTTTTTTTTACATATATGTACACTTAATATCTTTATTTTAATTTCATATAAATATGAAAATTTATTTGCTCTTTAAGTCAAGATAGATTAGATTTTGTCGTGTCAATATGTATTTATAAACATTTTTTATTAAAGTAAAATTGTTTGTAATTATTATATAATTTATGTATTGCGGCGGTATATTTTATGTGTACAGCGCCACAATTTGCGTTCAAAACTTACACTAATACTTAAAATCATTATTTTCATCTAGTTTCTCAAATAATAACAATAGTAATAATATTTATTATTGATAAGGATTGTTATTATATTATTATTATTAATATTTACCACTAATTTACTTAACAAAGTAAATTAAAATTGTAAAAAAATAAATTTAATAATTATGTTCTGAAAAAAAAACCATTTGCGTTTTTATGGGACATTATAAATATCATGCTATCATATTTTAATTAATACCTTAATAAATTCCGTGAGGTTTATGAAATAGCTGCTTATCGTAAATTTTAATTAATCATTATTAATAATATTTACTACTAATTTACTTCGTCTAAATTAAAATTGTTTAAAAATAAATTAACTTTTTCTGAAAGAAAAACCTTTTTATGAGACATTGTAAATATCACGCTCTCATCTTTTAATTAATACCTTAATAAATTCCGCCGGGATTTCGAAATAATAACGTATCGCAAATTTTAATAAATTATTAATAAAAATGTCCACAATTTATAATCCTTTATTGTGTTATCATGGAATATAGAACAATTTTTTCTCCTTCATCGATTTTATTGCCATTCTAGATGCAATCATGTTGGATATGCTTTGACATAAACATAAATTAATATAAATTGTGTTAAACAATAGTTTGTTATTTAAAGATCGTTCTGAGTAGGAATTCGTAACGGCTATGCCATAAGTAGTATAGTTATTTAAACGAAGTTTGTTGAGCGTCAGAGAGTTTTGATGAGAAAAAAGATATATTTAGTATATTTATTTTACGTCAACGTATAGAATTTTCTCATCTGTAAAAGCACACAGTAACTCAGTAAATCATAATAGTATTGATTGCATTTGTGATCTCTAATAGTTATAAGAGGTATGGCATTTTATGTATGATTATTGCTACATATCTATAAAAATCGTTGCTGTATTATTACTGTACCAAGTTGTTAGAACGAAGACAAAGTTAGATCTCCACCGAATACTCACGTAGAATGCCATCCATTTGGAAGCCTGAGTGGGAAGAATATCAGACTTCCGATTGGCTGGCATCCTACTACGTGAGATTTTAATATCCGGTGCAAATACACTTTAAGGCGCAATCACATCAAATAAATAAGTTTTAAAAAAACTTTTTTTTATTGCTGACGCGGTTTCCATTAAAAAATTATATTTTCCTACCGCCTTCGTAAAAACGTAGATTTTCTAAAATTTGGTGTCTAGAAGTTAGATATGATTCAAGTTGAAAACGACGGGGAAGCATGTGGGAGTGAGGTGGGAAAATAAGCTTCCAATTGGCTGACGTTCTTATTCTAGAGTTTATTTTATTTAAATTCGTAGATAACAGTTATTCAATCATCAAATGTGTATTCATTTCATATACTTACTAAGGTGGTTCAGGGATTGTATTATTGACTAATGTAACTTGTATATTTTTTATTTCTGCAAATTTGTTAAAAACGCTACATTAGGTGGGTTTACCTTACAATTTGATTATGCAATTAAACTGTATATAAAAGGGTACCATTTTTTACATTATTGACAGAGACCTCAGTGAAAAAAAAAATTTTAGAACCCTTGATATAAGTGAATCTTTTCAAATCAAATAAAAATAATAAACCTTTTTTCAATTTACTAATTTAAACACATTATCATTGATTATTTAATTGATAATTCTGATGATTAATGGATTTAATTGAGAATTCTGTTGATTAATTGATTTAATTGAGAATTCTGTTGATTAATTTATGATTTAATTGAGAATTCTGTTGATTAATGATGATGAGTATATAATTTAATCATTAATGATTTAATTGACATCCTTAATGATGAAACTGCCGTCTTTGAATTTGATAATAAAGAAGTTAAGTTATGTTTTCATAGCCCCACGGTTATTCATTATTTTTGAAAACAAAATGTCGATTAAATGAATAAGCAAAAATTCTAGATAAATATTTCTGTATGTCTTCCCAAAGCCTTTTTTCAAAGATATGTTTTAACAACATTATTGTAAAACGCAGTCAGTTATATCTATTCTCAGGTTGTTTTTTATAAAACTTTAAAAATTACAAAATTTTAAATTGAATGTAATAGTGAAACATTTAAAAAGAATTGCTTTTCTTTAGCAACCATCTTTTAAAGAGGTCACAATTTTTTTAAATACAGATTTTTATCCATATGCATGATGTCGGTTGAAAATACCTTCCAGAGTTGAATTGGCTAGCGCTCTGACCTTTGGCACCACAGGCTTCAGGTTCGAATCCTGGAGGAGGAGGGAATATTCGTTAGTGGTTCGGAATCCAAGTTAAACTGTAGGTCACGGTCCAATTAGCCTAAAGTGCTTACAAAATGGTTGGTTTTGATTGAAATATTTGAACTTGGTTTTGATTGAAATATTTCGATAACTTTTCAAATCGTTGCCAAACTTACAAACATAATCTTAAATTTATTATTTACGTAAAAAAGATACCGAATTTTTAATTCGCCTTTAAATGTATAATAAAACCTCGGAATTACAAGAGTTTTTAGGAAAAGTAAGTTCGAAACGTTATAATTGCCGCACCCGAAGACTGACCCTGCCCGCGGTGTCCTTAATGAAGTAGTTGCTGCAACAGCGCAGCTAATATGGTGAAACGCTAGCACGTTTAATGTGCGCGAATGATGATGAGGACCACAGAAGGTTCCACGGACGATTGTGAAATTCAATCAGTGATTCGCTTTTTAAATGCAATGAATGTGCAACCAACAGGGATTCGCAGACAAATTATTGAACTCAGTGTACCGCGGTGAAAATCAGTGGAACATAGTGAAAAAGTTATGAGTGATTGAAGGTTTAGAACAGGGGTGGCCAACCCGCGGCCCGCCTTGAATATTTTTGCGGCCCGCTAGATTTATCCCACTTTTACAAAATATATTTATTTTATAATAGCCAAAGTAGTGAAAACCAATGTATTAAAAAAATACATTATGTGTGCATACATATATTAGGCAACGGCCGTACCATGCTGAATATACCGGTTCTCGTTAGATCACCGAAGTCAAGTACTTGGGCGCGGTCAGTACTTGGGTGGGTGACCACCTGGGAACACCGCGTGCCGTTCGCAAATTTGGGACCTGAATGGCCGAGTGTCTAGCACTCTGGCGCTCGGTGCCACAGGTTTCGGGTTCGAATCCCGGCGGTGCCATGGATGTTTGTAGTGGTTCGGAATCCACTTTAAGCTGTAGGTCCCAGTCTCCTATGACTGTAAGAGCGTCACGGAGCAAAAGTCAGGCTTCTACCTACGGGTGCTCCATCACAACAGAAGCTGCTTCCTTCCCCTTCAATCATGAGTACGTATGGGCTCGTGGGCTTGGCCAGCCAAGTGGGATAAGAAACAACAACAACAACATATATTGCAAAATTAACTGCCGAAATTATGAAAAAAAAATAAACTTTGATTTTAAAATAATAATCTTGCGAATATATGACAGATATTGCCTGTTGTTGACAGATATTGCATTTGTTTCTCCTGATGAGTGGAGAAACAAATATCGCATTGGTAAATTAAATATTTTTTAATGATTTCATTTTTTTTTATTTCATTTATATTTATATATTTTTTATATTTCATTTTTAGTGTTATGTATTTCTTTACATTGTGTATTTAGTGTCATTATTATTATATTATCTATGTTTACATATAAGAATAATAGTAAACACAATAATAATAACTCATTATGTTTCAATTTTTCATTCCAAAAAATGTCTATAGTGGATCTAAATCTAATATGGAGATATATAATTTTATATACGGCCCGCGGAGTTTTGATGCATTTCCAAAGTGGCTCTCAAGATCATTTGGGTTGGCCACCCCTGGTTTAGAAACTCATCAGATGACAAAATATCACATCCAATCCTTTGGTTAGAATCAAACTATTGGGCCTATGGCCTTGACCTGAAGGCAAATGATTTGATCCTTTTTGCAACTGAAGAGATTTGTGGGAAGCCAGAATTTTGATGACGATAACGAGGTGAAAGGTGTCGTAACATCATGGTAAACCTCACAGGTGGCCATCTTCTTTGATGCTTACATACAAACGTCTGTGTCTCGTTATGTATGATAAATACTTTAATGTGCTGGCTGATTAGATAAAAAATAGTATGTGTTTTAACAGTTAAAGTTCAGTTGAAAGATGTCATGACTACATGGTAAACTTTACAAATGGCCACCTTCTTTGATTCTGGCACACAAGTACTTATGTCTCGTAATGATAAATGTCTCCACATGTACTGGGAGACTATGTAGCAAAAAATGTGCAATGCTTGTCAATTGCCAATGCTGAGGTGAAAGATCTCTTGTTGGTGGGTTAGTGCATATGTTTCTGTGTCAACCAATTAAAGTGTTACATATTACAGATATTTTGAAATTAAAAAAAAATATTTCTACTTAGACAGATGCACTCTTTTTTGTTTGTTCGAAATGAAAAGAAAATCTCATCAGGGCCTTGAACAAACTAAAGTTTTATTCATTCCAGTATCGTTAAATATCACATTTAGTTAACATGAATAAAGTGGTTTAAGTAAAGTAACATAGGAAAGTGGGAGAAATGATTTACATTAATTTTATTAGCTGGTTTTAGACTAATTGCAATTATTATTTAATTCATATATACTTTTATTCCTGGTTGTCTTTTGGTTTATTTTCTCCATTTCGCATAAAATATTTATTTATTTTCTTCATATTTCTTTTTTTTTTATTTTTTTTTTTCTTCGTTCATTTTTTTTTTTTTTTTTTTTTTTCCGTAAAGGTTTTTAATAAATTAAATTTTTAAATCATATCTAATACCTGAAATTAGTATATCAAATTAAACAACGTATTAAATACTCTGAAAATTATCTACACCCACTTTTAAAGCTCTTTATTTTTAATTTGTAATTTAGGTATTCAACAAGTTTGAAATCCTATAGCGGCCTGATGGCCCATTGGCTAGCTCTCTGGCTCTTGGTACCACAAGGCTTCAGGTTCTCATCCTGTCAGTAGCATGGATGTTTGTTAAAGGTTCGGAATCCATGTTAAATTGTAGATCTCTGTCTAAGTAGCCTAAAGTGTGCACAAAATGACCGTAGAGCGACAAACCAAACTAAATCTATATGAAAATACACCTTTTTTTTCTTCTGAAAATAGAAAAACCACGAAAATTTAAAATAATACCTGCGAACGATTTTGAAATCAGCATATAAAAAAATAAAACATATCGATTAAAATTAATTTTAATGGTATAAAAAGAAGGGGCAAATTTCCGAGATTGAAAGGCAAAATTTATTTTACCAGTAGGATCAGCTTTATATCCGAAGGAATACGTACGGAAGAAAGACGTGTTGTTAAGATTTTAAATTACTCAAAACACATTTGATCATTTCTACAAATTAATGAATAAAAACTAATTAAAATATAAATATTCTTTAAATTCTTTTTTTTAATTGCCTGTCTATTTTATTGGTGATTTATAGCAAAATTGTAGCAGATTCATCTTTATTCGGTAAACCATTAGGGGATCTGTTGCACTAAACTATCTTGAGGGAAGAGCTTTAAAAAATAATCCTATTTTCTTGTCGTACTGGATAATATCTGGCAATTTGTCAATGAATCACAAATTTTACCAAATTCAGTGGTAGTCATTCCAAAAAAGCCAAAACCCTGTCTCTCTATTTGGATTTTTCTCATTATTTAGTATCATAATAGCTTTGATGGTTTGTTCATTTGGTTTTATTTTAACAATATTTAAATATCAGAGTTTTCTTTTTTATCTAAAGTATTGAGAATATTTTTTAAAATTACAATTAATAAATTTATTAAAACTTTACAATAATGATGTGCGAATGTTCAATTTCTTAATGTAAGAGTAATTAAGGTTTTAGATAAAACAGATCATTAATGAAATAAGAGCAGGCTTCTGAGATATATATAATCATTTGATTTATGTTTAAAAATTTCTCTCAAGTTATTACGAACATTGTTACTAGTTACTTAATAGCAGTCAAATAAAATAAAAAATATAAATTTTTAATATATATCGGCTTAGATTTATTGCAAATTTAATCATTTTTTCTTAGATTTAAACTTTTGAATTTCTTGTCAGTTATATACTAATTATAAGAAACTACTATACACTATTTTCGAACTATTAAAATTTGTGTTCGGTAATAAATTCTTCTATAATTTATTTAATTGGGGTCTGATGGCCGAGTGACTAGTGCTCTGGCGATCGGTGCTACATGTTTCGGTGCCATGGATGTTTGTAGGGGTTCGGAACCCACTTTAAACTGTAGGTCCCGGTCATAGTCTCTCTGTAGAGTGTAGGGCTGACAACCTTACCCCGTAAAAAGGAAACATCTCTTGTTTCGAAATCTGCTATTAGGCAGACGGCCTTGGCCCACCATAAGTTTTGTTGCGCCACTGATGATGATGATAATTTATTTAATTAACAATGTAATTTGTTTGATGCGATATATTTTATTACATTTTAATTACTTAAGATGATTCAATTTTACTGTAGCAGTAAATAACTGTACACATATTAAACTGTACACACATTGCTTCTGCACCATATTTGAAAATCTCAATTAAGAACGAAAAAAATAATCATTTTACATGACTGATAAAAAATAATTTAAAAAAAGTGTGATCACACATATCATCATTTCAAAAAGGAAGACGAAAAAAAAAAAAAGAAATATTTCAGCAATCTTTCGAACCAGCCATTTCATATTCAAATATGTAGGGACTTTTTAAAAAAAAAAACAAATGCGAATCCAGCGAGTACGGAAAAAAAAATAATCCAGTTGATTGAATGCGTTGCGGAAAACCCATCCTTGGATCCGACCGACGACGCCAGCCTTGGCGAGAAAAGCGTTTTTCTCTTTGGTTTTTGGTTTTTTTATTATTGTTTGGCTCCTTTTCTGGTTTCGCCTTGAACAGCGAGGCAGCACGTGCGCCAACGGTGGAATGGAGGGGGTGTGGGAAAGTTGCGGAATGGCAATAAAGCATGGATAATGCCACTTCTCGCTCAATTAGCAATTTCTTAATTGCGCTTTTTTCTTCTTTTGTCTGTTCTTTTTTTTAATTTTTTTTCCGCAAATGTTTCCATGATTTTGTTGTTAATTTTGTCATTTATCTGAAAGTATTTTGCAGCTGTAATTTATTTCCTTTTACTTTATTGTTGTTTTAAGGTTACATTGTTTATTGTTTGTACAGCTATTTTCCTGCATTTGTTAAATTGTTTTTGTTAGGTGTTAACAAAGTAAATAAATATAAAACTGCTTCCTTTTAATTATAAAGAATGTATCTTTTTTTACGGAATTTCCAAATCTGTAGAAGCCGCTGTCTACACACACACAAATACTCTAGAAAATTATTTAACACTTATTCATAGTTAATTTCTTAATATGTAAAAAAAAATATGTTATGTAATATTAAAATGCATTATCATTGACGCAACAGCCCCAAAGTGGGCAGATATCAAGACAAAAGATATTTTCTTTATACGGGGTAGAATTGAGAACCCTATGCCCAACGCTTTACAGTTATATTAGATCAGAACCTACGGATTCTGAAGTGGATTCAGAAACCACTACAAACATCCATGGCACTGTCGGGACTCAAACCCGAAACCTGTGGCACGGAACGCCAGAATGCTAGTCACTCAGCCATCAGGCCCCTATTAAAATTTATGCATGATATCATATAAGTTTAATAAATATTTTTTTTATTTTATTTGGTGCGATTTTTTTTAGTAATCTAGCACAAAATTGTTGAGTAGATGATTTTTATACATTTATTTTATTAATTTATTATTAATATTAATATTTTTGATATTCATGTCTGAAAAGATCACATGTTTTTTCTCATGTGTTGATCCAAACAGGCTTGAACCTTTTTAATATATTTTTAAGAACAACCACATTTATTTTGTTTAGCGCAATCTTAGGTCAGTGTTTTTCTTAATGAATATCGTAGAGATTGAAAAACATTTTGTTGATGAAGATCCTATATTAAAGCTAGCACATTATTGACAACGTATTTAATCTTCTATAAATCTGCAATAAAACAGGAAAAAAA